CCTGCAACACTTTGCTAACATAGTAGATAGGTCGTTGGACCCGATCTACTTCTCTTATCAGTACCGAGCTGACCACCTCGTCACTTGTAGAGAGGTACAGCTCCAAAACATCACCCACCTCGGGTCGGGTTAAGACTGGGATGCTGGCGAGGTACCTTTTGAGCTCGTCGAACGCGAGCTAACACTCTTCGGTCCATTCAAAGCCTTTGCTTTTAATTGCCTTAAAGAAAGGCAGGCAGCGATCTGCCGATTTGGACATGAAGCGGCTCAAAGCGGCTATGCGGCCATTCAACCTCTGAACCTCCTTCAATTTCCGGGGTGGTCTCATATCTAGGATAACCTTAATTTTATCCGGGTTGGCCTCAATGCCACGCCGATTGACGATGTACCCTAGGACTTTACCCGATGTGACACTAAAGGCACATTTGTTTGGGTTTAGTTTCATGTTAAACTTACGCAAATTTTCAAAAACATAATGCAAATATTTTATTAAATCATTTGAAAACTGAGTTGTGACGACCATGTCGTCTACATAACATTCTATTTTCTTGCCGATCAACGGCTCGAACAACTTATTTACAAGTCTTTGGAAGGTAGCCCCGACATTTTTCAGTCCGAAGGGCATGACCTTGTAACAGTACAGGCCTAGCTCGGTTATAAAAGTTGTTTTTTCTTCGTCGGCAGGGTCCATTCTTATCTGGTTATAGCCCGAGTAGGTGTCCAAAAAACTCAACAACTCGTGCCCTGAGGTCGTGTCCATCGGGCGGTCAATCTTGGGGAGCGGGAAGCAATCCTTCGGACAAGCTTGGTTCAGGTCGGTATAATCGACGCACATGCGCCATTTATCGTTGGCCTTCTTTATCAGGACTGGGTTGGCTACCCAACTCGAGTAATGGACCTCTCTGATAAAGTCGGCTGCGAGGAGCTTCCCGACCTCCTCGACAACTGCTCTCCAGCGCTCTGGGGCTAAGTTGCGCTTCTTCTGTCTAACAGGCCTAACTATATGACCAGTATTTAGCCTGTTAGTTATGATGTTAGGGTCTATGCCATGCATCTCTGCTGCGGACCATGCAAAAACATCTAAATTTCGAAGTAAAAAACTTACCAGTTGAGATCGCAGGGGCTCCTGGACTGAAGTGCCGATCTGGAGTGTCCAAGTTGGGTCCTCCGCTGAAGTGGGCACAGGAACAGTCTTTTATGTAGGTGCAGCTCGCTCTTCGCATTGCTCCGCAGGTCGCTCCAGCCCGAGGTCGTTGGCCAACTTGGCTTTCCCTTTGAGGGCGGCCACATAGCATTTGCGAGACTCGAGTTGATCGCCTCGCGCTACCCAAACTTCGAAGTTCGTGGGGAACTTCATCGCCAAATAATAGGTGGAGACCACCGCAGGAAGAGCATGGGTGATAGGCCGACCTATTATGGCGTTGTACGAGGAGGGAGTTGCGACCACCAAGAAGTCGTGGTTAAGCCTCACTATGCTAGGCCAAGTGCCGACCTCCACAGGTACTATGATTCTCCCCAGGGGCCTGACTTCCTCTCCGCTGAAACCTACCAAGGGAGTACTTGCGGGCTTGAGATCACTCTCTTGGAGCTAAAGCTTGTCGAATGCTGCCTTGAAAAGAATATCTGCCAAGCTGCCGGAGTCGACGAGGACATGCTTGACTTCGAAGTCATTAATCCTTATCTTTACGATGAGCGTGTCATCATGGGGGTAGTGGACCCCRCACACGCCGTCCTTAGTGAAGAAGATCGGGTGTTCTGTCCTTGGCCGCTTTGGGGGGTTTTKCTCTTCCCTTCCGACCTCGCGGGCTGATGTCCGAGTTGCAGCTGAGGTGCAGCCTACGACGATCGATCCTCCGACGATCACATGAATGGTCCCCCGAACTGGTTAGGAAAATAAACTTTCCCTAGTCTTCACATAAATCTGAAAAATGAACATGGGATTCTTGGTGAGTGGGAACCAAAATCCCATTGACCAACTTTCCCCCTCTCAAAATCCAAAAAAAGAACGCCCCCTTAAAGTTTATATTATATTTCTCGATAGGGTTTGAATTATGTGTTTTTACTAAATTGTTATGAGTTCATGTTTCATATAAGCACTATTCAATTTATTTGTGTGTAAAACATAATACTAAAGACATTTTTAATCTATTTTATTAATAACATATAATATTTCAATTACTTATAATTTAATTTATTTATACCACTTTGACTCTATATATAATTTAATATGCACTTATACAAGATTAAAGGGTAAAAACAATTAACCCCATATGAATGCAACTATGTGAATTAAGTTTTACACTTTGCATAGATACGAATTAACTACTGAGAGATCTACATATACATGTGTAGATATAGATATAGGTTAAGATCCGATTATAAACGAATGAATTTTGAATAATCCAATATCCAATTCGATTTGATTCGTCTGCACAAAATTGGACCAACGGGACAAGGCCCGATCGGGCCGATCCAGAAACTCTAACTTGTCTGGGCCCGCTGAGCCAGGGTTGGATGGTTTAGATGCAAGAAGTAACCGGCAAAAGGTTACATTATTATTTACTTAAGAGATTGAAGCACGAGATAAGCGCAGAACACGCTAATGATGCAGTAGTAGCATTTGGCACCGAAACTCAGAAACGAGAAACAGCCCTTTTCTTCTCGGGTCTTTCCCGTGCTGAGAGAAGAAATGGCGGTCTTTCTCAGTTTCAGGTACAACTTATTTTTCATTTTTTCCTTTTTCTCATTCTGACGTATATAAATTTTGGTTGTTACTCTCTTGAACTCTTGCACGGATTCATCTGTAACTTTTAGAGAACCTGATATTGTCAGAAATTAACGGTGGAATTAAAGTACCTGCTAAAATCTTGGAATTCGAGGTTCCTTAAGCAAACACTAGACATCGAGGATCCCTTTTTTTTCTGATTGTTAACACCGAGGATCAAATTTCAGGATGAACTAATTAACCAATCGAATTTAGGGTGAATTTCCATGCTCGATCGGCTACTTTTCCGCAAACCTAGAATCTCTCTCCCTCCCTCCCTCCATTTTACTATATTTTCGTTGTTAATTTGTGTTTATCCAAATTCGGAGGGAGGTATATTTGTAACTTTAATTGAAAATTCAGTTAGTAAGTCAGTGTTCGAGTCATTATATGCTAATTGTCTTTCTTAGGCATCTTCATGCTGTTATAAACTCCCCACTAAAAGACACTATACCTTTTTGAAGTGGTTACCGAAGTTCTTAATTGGCGATTTCATGCAAAATATGGTATTTTTTTTTCTTATTATGGTGTATTTGCAGATTTTAAGTTGAATGCATAGTATTCTTAAGAGGACAGCATGATGGAATTGGAGGGAAATACAAGCGGCATTGCAGAAGAAGCTTTCTTTGAAGTTGGAGATGATATTGTAAGCTCTAATTCCCAATTATTTTTCTGAATTCAGAGATTCATTTAATAATACATTATTTTTGAATACGCAAATTATCTGAAACTCATTGTTAGTATATTATTTCACTGTCTCTGTTAACTTCAGCAATGATTTTAATGGCCTTTTTTTCCCATAATTTTGACAAATTGACAAAAAACTCAGAAGCAAAATTATTGGAAAATCCCCCCCTCGCCATATGTTGAGCAAGCCAAGGATGAGAAAATTTGGGTTCATCTAATATGCCGCTGTCATAAGGTGTCTGAGTGTAAGCCAGCTTGTTTTTATACTAAGATGGTTTGGTCATCTGCATAGAAGACCATTGACAGCACTTGTAAGAAGAAGTGATCTGTTGCAAGTTGAAGGGGCTAGTAGGGATAGATGTAGACAAAAAAGGAGTAAAGGACATGGTCTGAAGTAGTGAGAAATAATTTAAGTGCTCATAATTTAAAAATGGATATGGAATTAAATAGAACGGAATGGAAAAATAGGATTCATTAGGGGTGTCAATGGACCGGTTTTGGATTGGACCAATATCCAGTCCATTGATAGAAGATAAGAATACAAGTGTCAATGAACAAGGTTTCTGTTTTAACCAATCTAAATTAAAACCAATTTGAACAAGTTGGACGGCCAGACATTGAATTGGACTGCTCCGAAGTGGTCCAAAGTATTCATCTGATTGGATTGGACCTGGTTTATCTATAATGGATTCGTATTGGACCGGATCAGATTGGACCAAATCCGGTCCAATTGACACACCTAGGATTCATGTTAACGACCCCATATAGTTGGTATAATGACAATGGTGATGATGCTAGGAAAAGTTTCCCAATTGGGTGAATTGGTGATTTCCTAGACAATCCCACCTATTCCTGCAACATGGAGGAATCTTGTTTCCCATCCAAACTGTTCATCAAATAGGAGACTTCTGGATCAATCAACCATATGTTGATTTTCACAGTCCACATCAGACATAGGCAATCTTGTATTGGACTTCTGCCTTAAAGGTAACAGCTGCTCAAGGATTGTGTTTTCTAATTTCCAATTTTTAATATGCCCATAGAAAAGGCTTGTTTTAAACACATGTCAAGGTGTTTTCAGCTAAAATTAATTCCACGAATTAAGGATGTGAGGAAGCAGCAAAGATAAATAAATAAATAAGGGTGAGGGAAGGTATACTGGGTATCCTTTTTTTTGCATCATATGTATTCTAGGTTACTAGTAGAGCATACATGCAATACTGCATTTCTTTTTTTTTGAAAAAATTGAAAGTATAGTTTCTAGTAATTATCTAATTCAAAGAACACATTCGTCTGTAAATAAGTACAATGAGATGCTGTACACCGCAAAAAGATTTTGTATGCTATGACTACAAAAAGGAAAAAAAAAGATTTTGTATGCTATGACTACAAAATATCTTCCGTTTGCAAAAGCAGTTTGGAAATTAAAAAGAGATGGATGAGAGGCATCCCTGAAAATAGGATTGATTGTCATCCATGTTGATAAAATTTCCCATATTCTGTTCAACTGAGCTCAAACTGTTGTTAAATACCCATGCATTATGCTCGATCCAAATTGCCCATACCATAGCAGTAAGAACAGAAGCCCATAATACATAATTAAATTGTCCATACCACATGCAATATTGCATGGTGGCCATAGAGGGAGTAGTTGCCATTAATGGAAAACATAAAAAATTGCATAGAACGTATTTAAATTTCTAATCTCCTTTGCAATCATAAGTTTTATCTACGATGATGTGAATGGTGTAGTTCTTGAATCTGGTCTGAGATAGGATGGTAAATAGACAAAGGAAGAGAAAGAGTGAAGAGAACAAGAGATCATGAGACTCAACTTAAACAACTAAAGAGAACAAGGGAAAGAGTGACCTCCAATCACTTTGTATAGGTGTTGGCAGTAGGTTACATTCTGGACCACAACTTAAATAAGCAGAAAAGACTGCCATACTCTTTTTCGTTGAGCAAAAGAAAAGTATAATTGCATTGATGTAAAAGGTCCTTTGTACAAAGAGAATCTGTACACACCAAAACAGAAGGACCTCAAAAAAAAAAAAAAAACGGTTATCCTCAAAAAATTACAATCAGAAGTAACCTCTTTAAAGTCATTAAGTATAGACAACCAACTTCTATCACAACCTAAAGCTGTATTGATGACTTAAACTTCAGTAGAGGTTTTAAGATCAAAGACCCTGCTGTTCCTTCTGTCCAAACCGCCCACATAATTGCTAAGGGAATAGAAGACCAGCAAATCTTTCCTTTCTTAGTCATCCCTTGGATCTTCCAAGCCTCCAGGCAGGCTTCAACTGAGGCTGGCGTACACCAGCTTAACCTCAGACTACTAAGAAGTGGCTCCAGATCTTTGAGTCAAAGTTGCAATGTAAAAACAGATGGTTGACTGGTTCTGTATCCACACCGCAGAAGCTGCACCTCAGGTCAGTGCAATTAAAACCCTTCCTCACCAACATCTCTTTGGTGAGAAGACACTTCTCTAAAGCTGCCACCCATACAAAAAAACTTTACTTTTGAGGGTGTCACTTCTCAAAACCTCTCCTTATGGTTCTGTAGAAGGATTTAACTGAAAACTCCCCACTTCTGTTCCACTTCCACACTAGAGAATCCTTGGATTGCAGATTCAAAACCTGAGACTGAAGCAAAACTAGGAGATTTCCTACCTGCTGAATTTCCCAGTCATTGAAGTCCCTTCTAAAGGCTGGAGCCCAGCAAATAGCATTATCCCTTATCACAAAAGTATCCGCTACCAAGGCTTCTTTATCTTCTGCCAAACTGAACAGGTGGGAAACAGTTCCTTAAGGGAATTCTCCCCAGTCCAGGGATCCAACCAGAACCTGATCCTTCTCCCATTCTCTACTTTGAATCCAACTCCCCTTCTGAAAAGGTTTGAAGCTCTGCATATTCCTTTCCATAGACTGCATCCATAGGTTGGCATAGGTGGACCACTACCCTAACCACTTTCATCCAACCCATATTTTTCTGCTATTACTTTCCTCCAGAGGTTGTCAGGTTCAGCAGCAAACCTCCACAGCCAACTTCCTAGCAAAGCTAGGTTGAAAGATTTTAAGCTCCTTAACCCCAACCCCCCTTGAGATAGGGGTTTACAAATCTGGCCCCAGTTTACAAGATGATATTTGTCTGAATCCTTCTAGCCCACCCACAAAAAATCTCTAATCTTTTTTTCTAAAACCTCTACCACTTCTGAGGGGATAGGAAAAAGGGTCATGAAGTACATTGCCAAACTTGCTTGGGCACTCTTGATGAGTGTTGGCTTTCCACCTTTGGAGAGATACCTTGCTTTCCAAGTGGCCAATTTCTGATCCATTCTTTCTATTATTGGGTTCCAAATGGTTTTAGAATTGCATGTCTCCCAATGGCAACCCCCAATAATTTTCTAGCAGCTGACCAACCTTGCAACCCAACACACCTACCAGACCCTGGATGTTAGAGACTTCTCCCACTGCTATCATCTCACTTTTTGCTAGATTTACTTTCAGTCCTGATATTATCTCAAACCAGAAAAGAATGTACTTCGGATTCAGAACTGGCTCCTTTGAAGCCTTACAGAAGAAGAGTGTGTCATCAGCATATTGCAGAATTGGAGTAGGAGTCCCATTGGGCTTCACCTGGAAGTCTTCCACCAGGTCCCTCTCCACAGCTCTGTCTACCAACTTTCTTAAACCTTCCATGACTATTAGAAAGAGAAGAGGAGAAGGGTCCCCTTGCCTCAGACCTCTAGAACTGCTTTCCTCTAGCTGTCCCATTTACAAGCACTGAGAATCTTGTGGTTGAAAAGCAAACTTCTCCACTTAGAGCCAAAGTGCATTCTTTTCAACAAATAATCCAAGAAGGACCAGTTAACATGGTCATAAGCCTTCTCTAAGTCAATTTTGCAGATTAGCCCACTTTCTCCACTTCTTAATCTTAAGTCTATTAATTCATTAGCTATGAGAACTACATCATGAATGTGTTTGTTGTGGACAAACGCCCCTTGGTACTTAGAAATTAATGAATAAATCACCTTTCTTAATCGGGTGGCCAGAATTTTGGTTAGGATCTTGTAAACACTTCAACCAAGCTGATCGGCCTGAAGTTTTTCAGCTCAGTAGCTCCTTTCTTTTTGGGGATAAGGGAGATAAAAGTTGCATTTAAGCTTCTCTCGTGGGCTGCAGAATTGTGGAATTCCTCCAGAACCCTTAGTAAATCAGCTTTAATGAGCTCCCAGAACTTCTTAAAAACAGCATTATGAAACCATCGCCTTCTCCCCTTCCATTTATTCTAGAACCTTCTTTACCTCTTCTTCTGAGAAGGGTTTTTCCAAGTCTGAAGCCTGCTGCTCAGACAAACAGTCGAAGATCAAACATAAAACATTGTGAAACCATCCCACCATACTTCTTTTTAGTATACCTAGACTGCCAAATATACCTCTGTTTACATGCCTACAACATAAAACATAAATATACCGCTCAACAAATAGGTCATAGTTCATTATGAAATTAAGCATAGGTGCCTACCTTGCAATTGGATAGAATTCCATAACAAAATTCCAATGGTCCCTGATAACTGGATTTCTGTTTTCACGGATTGAAGTGCAGTGATTTAAAAGTCACGCCTAGACGCACAGGTGAGATGCATTTTAAGGTATGTGCCTCATCTAGCCCCCAAGTACAACACTTTCAAAAGGCACACACTTGGTCTGTCTTGTGCTTCAGCCCTGGCATGTGCCTTTTGAAAATTTGTACCTTTTTTTCTGTTTTTTTATTCCTAGCGGTTCCAAAACCCCCATATTTGCTAATGTTGCTCATTCATTCATCTTAATAAAAGATATCTTTAAAAGACAATTAAAGTTATAATTTTTTTTATAGGTCTTAAGAATTTAAGACCATGATATGGACTTGTTTGAACTTGCCCCAAGGGGCTTGGTACAAAGGCAGTCATAGAATTAAGGAATGCATAATGTTTAACACCACATTAGATATTTGAAGTAATGCAATTGGGAAAAGAATAACGAGATTGAGAGTTTTACATGCTTGATTTTATTTTTAAGTTTTCATTTTAAATATGTTTTACATGTTTTATGTATCTTAAATTTTAAAATAAATGTTTTAAAATGCTTTTATGTTTAATATTTTTAATTAATATTAATATGTTTTACAGTTTATATTTTTTTTAATATAATATTTTACAGCCTATACTTTTTAATTAATATATTTTATAGTTTATATTTTTAATAATATTATATTTAATATTTTTTGACTTTTTTTTTGGATTTTTTGGCATCTTTGATTTTTTTTTTTTTTTTTTGCATTTTGTGGCTTGTTCCAAAAAGGTTCGCACCTCGGTCACAAAACGCCTCTTGTGCTTTTTTTTGTGCCTTGCGCTTTTAAAACATTGTACAAGTGGAGAAGTGTCACTGTCAAACTTATGGACACAGGGCATTTGCTTGCCTGAAAATGACTTGCATATGTGATTTGTATATTAAAATGTGGTGACCTAGAAAAAGCATTTTGCACTAGCTAGCCTAATATAAATAACACCTTAGGGGCATCTAGTTATTGTAGTTAAAGTTTAAAAATTAATTTACAAATAAGATCCATCTTCTCAAATCCTGTTAACATGATTTGTGGTCAATAAATCATAATAAAGGTAGGATGAGTACATACATTTGATCAAGATTTCAGCCTCTTGCTGTTTTGTTTCCCTTATTGATTAAACCAGAAACAGATAGAGAAGCAGTTTTATTGCTCATGATTTTCTACAATATCTGTACAGGATGCTGCTGCTTTTCAGAATGAAAAATGTGGGATATGTATGGATGTTATCATTGACAGGGGGGTCCTAGACTGCTGCCAGCACTGGTATGTCTGTATATATTAAAGCATATTTTCTTGAAGTGTTATCAAATTTATTTTCTGGATCATCTGTCAAACATTTTTCTAAAATTTTAGATTTTATGTAGTGGTGGATGAAAAAAATAAGATTTGGGGCTTCATGCTATTTCTGTATCAATACCAGTCATGTGACTGTCTTGCTATTGCAGTYGAGAAAATAGGAGAATGGTGGCTGATATTTGCTTCTTGAATGAAAATTTTGCTATTTGAAATCCTATTTGCAAGAGTTGAGGCTTTAGTTATTTAAAAGTTTTTGGTTTTTGTTTATTTTAAAGGTTAATATATCATTACTAGTGCACAAAAATAGCAAGAAAAAAAGTTATTTAGAAGTTGATAAACCATTACAAAGGTGTAAATTCATAAAAACAGCAAAAAGGATATTCAAAAAAGGCGTGCGCCTAGGTGAGCCTTGATTGAAGTGTGCCTTGCATGTGCACCTAGGTGAGCCTTTTTAAAACACTGGTTCAAGTTAGATGGATTTCATGGGAGCTTAATTCCATGGCAGATATTCTAGATTAATCAGAGTTGGCAATTGCTATCTTCCTTAGTTTTCATGTCTTGGAAGAGGGATTATTTTAGAAGCAAGCAATGGTTATTGAATTGGATACCATTGTATGAACATATCTGCCTAGTTATGGTTCTTCTATACAGAGGGCAAGTCAAACTTCATTTAACACAAGTTCTTTATGTTAATTTGCAGGTTTTGTTTTGAATGCATTGACAACTGGGCTACCATTACAAACCTCTGCCCACTTTGTCAAAATGAGTTTCAGTTAATCACATGCATTCCAGTAAGTGATGCTTCATCATGAAGAGATGCTTTATGAACGCAATGCTTGAAGGTTTCTTATTCTTAATACAGTTACTATAGTAACTATGTTAAGATCTTCTCCATAACTAAATTCATGTGTCCTTGTAAAGATGTTTGTGCACTTAAATGTAGAATATCTCTTTAGGCAATAATTAAAAATTCTGTTCAAGTTCATAGCTAAAATGTATTTACTGTCATTATTTGATTACTCTAGGTATATGATACGATTGGAACTAACAAGCTTGAGGACCCATTTCCCAGGTATTGTTACTTTTGTATACTTTTGTTTTTTGATTGGTGACAATCAAGAATTTTATTAATTTGTTAAAAAGAATGATGTACAATGATAAATATGCCTAGTTCAGATAGGCCAGTCCTTGCTAACTGCTCCTTGTATTATATACTTATTTCTTTGTTCAAATTAGTTCCCTAAGGGAACAACACCCCAAAACAACTATTCCTTATTTATTCATTCTCCTCTTGCCAAGGCTTCAGCTAATTCTATTGGCTGATCTTGTGCCAAATGGAAGATTGCATTTAATTGAGTGGCCAGTTTTCTGACTTCCCTCATGAGATTTCTATATTTCAAACTCCCAAAATATTGTTCCTGAACCAACAGACCATTAATCACCATCCGCCATTATTTATTTATTTAGGGTTTAGGGATCTGTCCAACCTTAGGCCCTGCAAAAGGTGCCAACCTAGCTCCCTTGTTGCCAATAGATGGTTTAATTCAGTGACCGGTTTTATCTATATACCCCAGCTCCCAAAATGTTGTTTCTGAACCAACCCACCGCTACCTTTTTTTTTGAATAATAAACAACTTTTTTTTTTGCATTCAATATGAAATCAGAATTCAGAACCCATGCTGTTCAAAATTAGACAGCAGGGGCATTACAAAAATATCTTTCAGTTGACAATACATATACCGAAATCTATAGAAACAACAGCTTACAATTCATTCCCAGGTCCTGGCATACCCCATGGACAACCTTATGATGGGGTATGAGAATCAAGAGAGGATTTTATTGTAAACCCAATTCTCTAATTTCTTCTCTCCTTCCTGTTCCACTTTTTCCTGTTTTATCAGTTGTTTTAACAAAATATTTCACGACTGTTAGTTGTTAGCAAAACAAAGGGGACAAACATGGGGAGGTAAACACTAATTAGGTTGTTTCCTCTGTAGCTACTTGCAAGAATTGATTTTCAGATAATACACATCCCAGAAAAAAGGTCCTTACCTGAAGTCGCAAAGGTTTACATCAAATCTCTCTTACTGGGAATACCAGAGAGGAGGAAGAGGGGATAAGGCCAAAACTAAAGCATAAACAAGAAAAGGTACCCAAAGAAACCAAAACTCAAATCCTGCTATCTAACTTGGAGGAGTCAAGGAATACATCGTTCAGGTTATCGATAAGACTCAACAAGCAACATTGAAGAAATCCGAATCACACAAACCCTTCTAAAGTCAAAGTTCCCAATCAATACCCAAAGGTGAAGGGGAAGCAAATTGGGAAATGGGTTTAAATTTTAAAGAAGATAGGGTTATATGGGGAAGAGAAACAATCTTTAAGGAGAATATTACTCCACCAGAGAACATATATAACATGAATCAATTATCCAACGGCTGAGAACATTATAAACTAACACGAGTCTCATAAGTGTCCAGTTTAAGGGTAATTACACAGAAACACACCATATATAACATGAATCAATTATGTATTTTTATTCATTTACAATAAATGTTTATGCACATCAATTTGATTAGAGCTAAGGGCATACACTGTCTAACAACTCCCACTTGCACTTAGGTCCAATCGGGTACAAACCGGAGTCCCATACTGTCCACGTGTTTCTCTAACACTTTCTATGTCTGTAGCTTTGTCAATGGGTCTGCTACATTTTCCGCTGACGCTACCTTCTGAATCAGGACGTCCCCTCTACCAACAATCTCTTGTAGTACATGATACTTCATCTCGATGTGCTTTGACTTCGAGTGGGCTCTGGGCTCCTTAGTTTGAGCAATGGCTCTAGTGTTGTCACACAACAGTGGAATGGATGATGTGCTGGATGGAACTACTCATAATTCGTTAATGAATTTCTTCATCCATACTGCTTTCTTGGCAGCTCCATTTGTGGCAATGTATCGGCCTCAGTCGTAGAATCTACTGTGGATCCTTGTTTGCTGCTTCTCCAACTAACTGAACAGGACCCCATCGTGAAGATGTAACCAGATGTAGATTTTCTATCATCTAAGTCTGATTGGAAGTCGGCATTAGTATACCCGAGGATCTATGGTGAACTACCATCGAATACCAGACAAACTCTTTTGTCCTCCGAAGGTATTTGAGTATGTTCTTTACAACAGTCCAATGCTTCTGTCCTGGGTTTGATTGATATCTACTTACTACACTCACAGCCTGAGCAATGTCTGACCGAGTGCACAACATGGCATATACGATGCTCCCTACGACAGAGGGATAGGGAACCTCTCTCATGCCCTCAATCTCCTCGGGAGTCTTGGGAGACGTACCCTTGGAGAAAGTGAGTTCGTGTTTGAAAGAGACAAATCCCTTCTTGGAGTTCTCCATGTTGTATCTGTTGACAATCTTGTCAATGTAAGTAGATTGGGATAATCCTATTATCATTTTCGATCTATCTCTATAGAGTCGAAGTCCCAAGATGTAAGAGGCTTCTCCAAGATCTTTCATGAAGAATTGCTGCGAAAGTCATACCTTCACCGTAGTCAACATTTCAACATCATTCTCAATGAGTAGAATGTCGTCTACATGCAGAACCAAAAACGTAACCTTATCTTCCACTGATTTCCTGTAAACACAGGGCTCATCTGGATTCTGCTCAAAGTCAAACTGTTTGACGGTAGAGTCAAATCGGATGTTCCAACTTCTTGAAGCTTGCTTAAGTACATAGATGGATTGGTTAAGTTTACACACCATGTGTTCCTGACCTACAACAATGAAACCTTGCAGTTTCTGCATATAGATTTTTTCAGTAAGATCTCTATTCAGGAACGCGATTTTGACATCCATTTGCCAAATCTCATAGTCATAGTGYGCTACTACAGCTAGCAGGATCCGTATGGGTTTAAGCATGGCCACTGGTGAAAAGGTTTCCTCATAATCAATTCCCTCTTTCTGAGTGTACCCCTTCGCTACAAGACGAGCTTTATAGGTCTCAACCTTCCCATTGGGGCCCTTCTTTCTCTTGTAGATCCATTTGCAACCAATTGCTTTCACCCCAGGGGGTGGGTCTACAAGGGTCCAGACTCCATTGGTTTTCATCGAGTCCATCTCATTTCTTATGGCATCTACCAACTTCAAGGAATCTATGTCCAACATAGCTTCCGTATAAGTTAGGGGATCTTCTTCACTGATTGTGGCTTCCATCAAGTAATTTTCTTGATCATAGTTATAACGAACTGGAGGTCTAGAAACCCGGGTAGATCTTCTAGGTTGGGTATATCTGGAACTTGTGGGACATCTCCCACTATTTTTGGGCTCTCATCATCAAGAACAATTTCCTGACGATGATTGTTTAGGATGTAATCTTCTTCCAAGAAGTAGGCATTTCGACTACAAAACACTTTTTGTTTTCTTTGGTCATAGAATAGGTATCCTACAGAGCTTTTGGGGTAGCCTACAAATAGGTAGCGACTGGTCTTGGATTTCAATTTGTCAGCACTTGTTCTTTTAACATGTGCCGAACAACCCCAAATCTTTAAGTGTCTTATATTTGGTTTCTTACTGGTCTAGAGCTCATAGGGATTCTTAGGAACGGATTTGGTTGGAACCCGGTTTAGCACGTATATTGCAGTATCCAATGTGTATCCCCAAAAGGATATAGGTAATTCTGAGTGAATGAAGAGTGATCGGACCATATCTAATAGAGTCCGGTTTCTCCTCTCCGATAYACTGTTTAATTGTGGTGTAACAGGAACTGTGATACAATCCCATTGTTCTTTAAGTAGTCCCTGAATTTGTTGGAGAGATATTCGCCTCCTTGATCTGATCGAAGGGTTTTAATTTGCCTCCCCAACTGTTTCTCGACTTCTTGTTTGAATTTTTTCAACTTTTCAAAGGATTCGGATTTATGTCTCATTAAGTACACGTAACCATACCGAGAGTAATCATCGGTAAAGGTTATAAAATAAACGTGCTGGTTGCGTGTCCTAACATTCATGGAACCACATACATCAGTATGTATCAGGTCAAATGTGCCTGTAGATCTTTTAGGCTTTCCCGCAAATGGCCGTTTCGTCATCTTACCCTGAAGGCAAGGTTCATAAGTTGGAAGATCTTCTACAGTTAGAAAATCCAAAGGACCATCTTTTACCAACTTTGTGATACGATCTATATTAATGTGGCCAAGTTGTTAATGCCATAGGTACGTGGGATTAACCGTATCACATGATCTTTTCTTGGGATAATTTTCGACGTAGTTTCGTTTATGTTTGTTTCCAGAAAAGGACGGAGGACATAGAGACCGTTCTCAAGTTTTCCGTGTGTAAGGAACTTGTTATTCAATTTAATAGTAATCGTATCACTAAATAAAATAGAATAACCATCATTGCACAATTTTGAAACAAAAATCAAATTTCTTCTCAAAGTGGGTACATAAGGACAATCTTTAAGTTTAATAATTCATTCTCTGAAAACTAGATCTACAGTTCCTATGGCTGTAGTTGCAACTGTTGCAAAAGTCCCCAAGTAAAGAGTCACCTYATCGTCACTTAGCCTTCTGCTTTCTTTGAACCCCTGCAATGTGTTGCATGCATGAGTAGAAGCCCCGGAGTCAATACGCCAGGATGCAGAAGTGACAWACATATTGGTCTCTATGACGAGATTCAAAATTACCTTTTTTTTTTTCTTGGATTCCATATACTGAGGACAGTTCCTCTTCCAGTGTTCGGTTTGTTTGCAAAAGTGACACGCATATGATGCTTTGTCTTTCTTCTGCCTTTTCGGCTCGCCTGCTTTCTTTTGCCCGACTTACCATCTTCAACAAGCATGGCTATCGGCTTGTCCTTCTTAATCAGTTCTTCGGCCATCTACAACATATTGCTGAGTTCCTGAAGGCTAATTTTTAGCTTATTCATGTTATAGTTCATGATAAACAGATTGAAGGAGGAARGTAGAGAGTTTAAGATGACATCAGTTTTAGTGTCTTCATCCAGTTGAGAACCAAGAGCCTCCAGTTCGTTAATAAACCCCATCATTTTCGTGCAGTGGTCATGGACTTGT